AGTTACAGGTCAGAAAGCAAGATAAACCTTGGTGACAGAGAATACTATTCCAACTCTCTTTCAGGCAGGGCCCTCCAAACTCTTTATGCTCTCAATAGGTGTCCCACCTCAAAGACAAACACGGGGTTTCCATTGGTAAAAAATATCTCTATCTTTCCTTGGCTCAGCCTCTGGCAGGCAAATTGAGGATCACTAGAAGTTAGAACACATTTACATAATAATGATAATAATTTAAAAAATAACTTACCTTGATGTGATCTTCTGTTGCTTTGGTAAATATTCACTGGCTGCCTCTAGCCTGCAAGTCTAAAAAACATGCAAGGATGACATACCAAAAATGAAACCTGCCAACTGTGGCATTGTAACATTATGTTGTGGAGGAGAGAGGAGTGTCTACTTCAAAACATTTTCCAAAAAAGTGGTCTGTGTCTGTATATTTCCTCTGGCATTCACTTAAGAAATCTGAGGATTCAATCAGTCCACAGTCCAACCTCAGCCTGAAGATGATGCAGGAGCAAGCCAAAAGGAAACATGCCAAGGATGATATTATGCTCTAAATGCAATTGAAAGGCAATGAATTCTACAAGCTACTGCAGGAACAGAAGGAATAAGTACAGGAACAGAGAGTCGTTGGCCCAAGAGGTGTTAGGAGGAGGGGGGAGAGGAAGTGGGAAAGAAACTGTCCTGAAGAAGACCCATGAATTTTGGCAGTGCCTATTCCTGGTGGAGCTGATCAGGTATGTGTTCCCAGGAGCTGAAGAACTGCTGTAGACCTTGATACAAATGCTAGCAGTGGTCACAGGGTACCAGGGCCAATTATAGCACTTGTACAGGCTTAAAACCTTTCACAAAACTCTGGACAGATCCAAATGCACATGCACAGATTTGGCACTCAAAGTTCTTGATAAGGATACAGAACCTTGTCAAGTTCCTGGTTCCAACTTCTCCTGCACCCTACAAGAAACTGCAGGAGTTAGAATTGATGGTCATCCCCTGGGGCTTGAAAAGTCTAGGAAACATGATGAAGGCCAACCTATCCCCCCTCAGTATCTGCCCTTACTGTCCGGTACCACATATGCATGAAGAGTGGGGAAGAGATATAGAAAAAGGAAAGGGAAAACGTAAGCAGCAACTGCTCATGCTGACAGTATCCATTCTCCTCTTGCACTTTCATTATTTCATATCTAGTTTATCCAGCACTAGTTTGCTTTGCACACTATATTTCAGTTTACAAATTAAATATCTTTATTGCTTGTGGTCAGCGCATCTAACCACACTGTTAAGTTATTCATTGTTCATGTTTTTCCATTTTCTCTGAAGTTCTCTGTAAAAACTGTTACTGCTGCCTACCCAGATGTAGGGGAAGGGGAAGCTGTGACCTTGCAAAACATGTTATTGCAATATAAAAACAAGAACAATTGACCCAATCCACTGAAATGGCACCTTGTTACCCAAAGTGATATTTAGTTAGATTCATGATTGTCAGACAAATCAAATGTTTTCCAATTACAATTCATCTAAGACAAAATACCCCATTGTGCTTAACCAGCCCCTTCAAGCAAGAAGTTTAGTGAATTATTTTAACAGCCAATTCCAAGGGCAGTTCCAAGGCAATAGCCTGCAGAACAATGAGTTAGCAAGCACTTACTTATTAGTACCACCACTTGCAACATTAATATGAGACATACTCCCTACATTCCCTAACTTCTTATGACCCACAGTTTGTACTGTATACTGATGTGCTTTCCAGTGGTGGCAACTGGCCACAAGAGTCCAGTGTCCAGGTTGCACTGTATTTGAAAATATTAACTTCACAGATCATGTGCAGGTATTAGTGGGCTACTGTAATATACACAGTGTTTGGGAAGGGTGGGCTTTCCCAAAATAGAGGTGGAGACCCACACCCTGCCAATGCCATTGGTCCTAGCTTATCCAAGCAACAAAAACATTGGATCTCCTCAGATTCTTGGATGCTATGCATATTGCCAGTGTGGTTGACAAGAATCTTCCTGTGTGATCCATCAAGGACATCAAAACAGGAGAAATAATGTCCTTGCTGACTCCTGCAAGAGTGCAGACTCTGGTCTCATGCACCATCAGCATCCCAGTGCAATTTGGAAGTTCTATTCTCTGTAACCCAGTGAAAATTTCAGACATCTCTAGGGCTGATAATCCATGAAAAATACTACCTTCATAATGGAACTATGAACCTTCATTACCAACGGCCCAAACACTTGAAATGCCAACGCCAAACCATTTAGCTATAGACTTGCAGCAGTCTGGATATGCATCCTAACACCATGTACAAATTCCAAACAGAACAACATGGAGAGATTTCTTAAGTTACAAAAAAACAGAGTGAATCGGGGGAAGGGCAGATCATGTGATGCAAGCTCATCCAAGGCACAGTGTACGTGTGAACAGAATACCTAGTAGGCAAACCTTTAGACATCATCTCCTATATACTTCACTGCTGCCAAAATTTCATTTTTTTAAATCAAAAGTATTTTTCTTCTTAATCTTACTACGCTACACCCCCCCCATGTCAGCTTCTCTATCTTTCTCTCCATCCAGACTTGCAACCGCAGCAATATCTGATTCTTGTCTCCTTTTCTTCCCCCACACCAGTTTTCTAGGCTCTTTATTTACCCTATATCCACCAATCACTACATTAACTGTTAGTGAAATCCCTGTCTTATACCAGTCTAGTATTTACTTGGAACTTTTACACTCTCAGTCTTTTCTCCATGCTCCATCCATCTCTCTGTGTTTGTTCCAAATGATGCTTATAAATTCAGCTTTCCCTGTGCTGATCATACCATCCTCTTCTCAGAGAATCTCTCTCCATGGGCACCAACCCAATGTTCTAATTAACACATTTCTTCATTAAACTTTCTTTCTTTTCCCATCTTTCCTTGTAACCCCTTGGGAGCAGGAAATGGTTTTACCCTACAGCCCTAATACTGGCCTCTACTGAAGCCTATTGGAATTTTGATCCCATGTTAGTATTACTATAGTGACAAATAAATACAACAACATGGAATAAATCAGCAGCAGGGATATGGAAAAATTAAATATTTCTGATCACTGCAAAGAGACACAACTTTGATTCAAATACTGTATTTATTTCACAGCAAGAAACAGGCATATACTTATTAGGTTTGATACAACAGAAGAATGAAGGGAGGGAGGGAGGGAGGGAGGAAAAGCATTCAAACAATACAGACATGTATACCATATCCTCCTGCGACACAGCTAACAAGGAGGTATTAGGAGCAATCATGAAGTATATTAAAATATAACCCTATTCAATGTTTTAAAAACAATATGAAATATAAAAGTCCCAAAGGGTTACAACAGTCTTCATTTTGAAGATATATACAGTGAAGACCAAATTTTCACATAATTTTGACAAAAGAGAAACAGAAAAATCCATTACATTGAAAGTGTGTAAATGTGAATTCAAAATGCAGCCACGTCCACTTCAATTATCCATCGGCTTTAGTCTGTTCTACATGACAGAGGTATTGGGGAGGGGTGCTACAGTTTACCAGAAAGGTACCAGAGAGAAAGTAATCAAGAAAGATGGAAGGTCCTAGAAACAGTCCCAGATGTTACCAGACTTCTGAAATTGGAAATAGTCTACATTACCCCTAGTTAACAGAGACACTTTAATGTAGTACCAAGTAGCTAAATAGCTCTCCTTCTCAGCAGACACAGCATAAACACTTCCCTGGAATGCGGGAACTTTCGGGGCAGGGTAGAAAGAATCACTTTATTTAGGACTAATTTTGCAAAATTGGCAGAAAAGTCTCCTGTCCCATTTCACTGACTCTTCAGGAGCACCGAGACATATCTAGAGCTATCCTGGAACCATCTAGATAGTCAGTAACTTTAATATGGGTCCACTATGGTTGAGTTACTGAATTAAAAGTATAGTAAAAAGTATAGTATAGATGAAAGTATAGTAAGAACTTGTAAAAATAGTTATAATGATGAATACCTCATGGAAACTTCAGTTAGGACTCGTAGTAGAGATGGTATCTTTTATTAGACCAACAAGATTTTTGCCAAAAAAATTCTTTCTGGAAACTTGAGCATCTACAGACCAGGGTGGCAAATCCTATTTCTATTATAGTATCAAAATATTCCTGTCTTCTTGTCCCAAACCTTCCAAATCCTGCATAAAATGGCAGGAGATAGATCAGACAATGGTAATTCCTCTAACTTCCATGTTAGGGAATACCAGGACCCTAAAGGGCTATAGGCTTTTCATGCTTTCTACTAACACTGGTTTCCACCAAAAGGGCTGATGAGGGAAATAGGAGAGGATAAAGCTAGCGGAGCCAGCTGGGCACAGAGAGAAAGGAAGAACTTTCTCCAAGTGCAACACATTCCACACAGGCATTTGAGAAAGCATTGTTTCTGTTTTCCCAACAGGTAATTGAAATTTTCCAGCAAAAAGTTTACCACTGTAAATGTAGGTTGTTTACCTCCATTTATCAGTTAACATTGACCCTCAAAAATCCAGCTCGTCAGGCTTCTTACCTAAAAGCAAATTAAAAGTAAGATATGTCCAGTGATGTCTCCAGAAAAAAGTGTCATCTTTCCTCCCCTTTCCCTCTCAAATGCCCCTCAACAGGTATTCAGTTACATAATACTTATTAAAGGACTCGTCTTTTGCCAGGATATACCGTTACCTTGTGGCTCAGATGTTTTTATGGCAGAAATCGTAACTGTAAACACATTTCTAAATACAGACTACTTTACAATGGTCAGTATGTATAATTAAGAACATTTTACAAATGGAAGAACTGTGATTCAGAATCTCAGGCAGAATCAGAATTGGATACGATACTTTGGGGGTAGAGGTCAGAGTTAGGGTTACTATGGTCTCTTTGACTGCCTACACTAGCTGAAATCACCCCCTTATCTTTCAAGTCCCAGTCCTGTGCTCTATCCACTAGGAAGGCATTGCCTCCCTAAAGCAAGTGCAATTTATGTCCTCCTTTAAAATAATCCAATGTGCTCATTCTGCAACAAGTTTGCTTTCCATTGTGTTGTTATATGAATGTTTTAGTCTTCCAACATGCAGTCAATGACTGGGTCTCTTGCTCTGAGACTAGCTCCAGAAAATTATTGGGACTTCCAGAGTTTGACTTGAAAGTTTTTGCTGGCATCAGGTACCGAAGATTCTTCCAAAATCTGGAATTCAATGGAAGAGACTGATCCTTTTTCCACTGTACAACTGTCCAAGATGGCAAAAGGGCAAGTGATTTTGGCAAGAAATTATAATCACTTATAGG